TAACCAAAATTACAGATTAATCTAGATCCAACTAATAAATTACCATCAACTATACACAGGCCTATTTTTCAAAATCATCACCAGTTAGATTTGAACTCTAGACCTGCCACTTGAAGAGGGTGATGACTAGACCACTACACTAAGTCACCACACCTCTATACTCATGAGTGTTATTTCAACATCATACTTCCTAAAAATAATATATATAGTTTCAAAATAATGCTCAAAATAGCGCGCACCCCATAGTAAGGGATGATTATTTATAGTAAGATTTAAAATACATCGGAACTAGATTTATTACTAAGTAAACCTTCGAACTTCAAAAAAGTTGTTCTGAAGAACAACTTTTGTTAAAGCTTGAAGGAAGGTTAACTTAGTACTAAATCCAGTTACGAAGCATTTTTGTTTGTTTACTTTTCATGCAAGAATTACTTAAAATTTTTTAATTGTCTCAAAATAACGCTCATGCACGTATTCGAAATAACATGCATATACTTAAAATAACGCGCAGGTGAGCGTAGCAAAAATACGGCAGATGGATTTTATATTTCTAATTTAAGACCCTCAGATTTCATCTAAAGCCAACATATTTTATATAGTCCCAATTTTTTTGGCCAATAAAAATTTAGTACAATTTTAAATTTTATTAATATAATTTAAAATTATATATATATACGCCAAAATTTTAAACTACATATAAATTTAAATTGATATGACTTTCTGAAAACAAAAAATATTTAAAAGATTTTTTGAATATTTAATAGTTCAAGCAAAAAGCTATTAAATATACAAAATATTTTAAATCTCTTGTATTTAAAAGTTATATCAATTTAAAAATTCCTATAATCAAAAGGTGATGGTTTTTCGTACTACTTTAAATTATTTAAAATTAAAATACACGTTATTCCGGTTATATCGAAATCTTGATATAACGACATCTGGCTGTAACAGCTTTTTTAAAATTTTGAATCTGCATACTGATATGAAAAATGCCCCTGGTAACTCGACACCTGACAATTTCTTTGATTTTACATAACCAGAGTGGCGTATAGTGTTCAAACCTACTATTCAAGAATTACAGTTATTAGTCACTAACTTGATTTTAATCAATTATTTTGGTCTACTTTTTTTTTTTTTTTTGTATTTTATACAAAGTAATAATAGTGTTGATTGATGCTAATATCAATAAAATAATACCGGAAACTATTATAATTCAAATAAATAACATCACTGGACATTTTACTAGGAAAGCTATAAATTTCCAGTTATAAATTTCCAGTATTTCATTGGGTAACTAAAACTATATGTGATACTGTATGAAAATTAATTATTATGGGAATTTTTTTTTTTTTTGCGTGGTTTTAGATATCTAGAGCGAATCGCTTTACTTTTTTCAATTATTTAGCATACCGTATAGTCGCGAAATAACACGCAGGGGCGTTATTTCGAATTTCGGCCCGAATTAAGCTTAATTTAGGCCGAAATTCGAAATTACACCTTGCGCGTTATTTTGCGACTATACGGTAAATCTATTTTTAAACACGTTATAACAAAGTCATGGTCATGTTAAATTTTTTTTTACCTGCAACGAAAATGTTCTCCTTCGAATAGTTCACAATATGAAACAAAATTTTTGTAGCAACTTAAAATTTTAATATTAGCGATAAAAAATTTCAATGTTACTTCGTTATAGAATAGATTTATGGTAAATTTTGGTTATGAGTGACGCCTTCTATTTGGTACGGCAATGTGATGAATCACGCGGCGCGGTAAATAAGCATTGACAATAATTAGTTATTAATATTTACCACGCCCATGATCCATCACGTTACTGTGCCAAATGAAAGGTGCCACCTTAATTAATTTTCATATAGTACCACACATAGTTTTGATTTACATAGTTGACCGGACACCACATATTTCATGATCGTAAAATTTTTACCGTTTTATATTTTGATGTATTAATACTGTATCGATAAGTACTTAGTTGTAGAATTCGAGGTTTTCACTCTTGATTTGAACTCAAACTCAGTACAGAACTGACAATTAGTAAAACGGGAAATAACACCTTTATTCCTGCTACTGGGGAATAAATTTCCGGAAAAATAACAAGGGTTGTTGGGAAAACTCGTTTTTTTCACTGATTAAAAGCAGTAATTACAAATTGTAAACTCCATCATGCGATTACATAGAAACCTGGAATAACCATAATGTTAAAAAATTTCTAGGCAAAAGCTGAAGAGTATTCTACAAGGGATAGTGGTTTAACCCGTGAAATACGGTATTCAAAAATAGAAGTCCCTGAATAAGATGATAAAAAGACTAACCAAATATATGATATCTTCCATTATTAGCAGGTAACGATAATATCGATTAATTAGCCTCACATGAATCACAAAAAGGTGCGGTTTTTTTTTGTAAAAAAAAATCGTTACTCGGGTAAATTATTATATAATTCTGATAAATTTGTCCCAATTGACGGACAAATATAGGTGCCACTAAGGAAAATCTTTCATTCAATCTATGGTTTTTAGGGTAAATTATAAATGATGACAGGTTTCCATTAGTGCACCCATATCAATAATTTAGGCCAGATCAGTGACTGGACTTGTCAACTCGTGACTCGAATAACTCCTTAATTCGTGAGTTACTCGTGAATTGTAGTGACTCGAATAACTCGAATAAAATCGAATAATAATCCAATCATATGATTCAAGTACTCTTCTGAGTTTAATTCACGAGTTACGTGTTGAGACGAGCACAACAATGTTCGCATCTATCTGCCATATTAGTGATGTTACCCAAGCTATGCGAAATTACAATAGTAATTAACGCGCTGCTTTATTCTATTGTCGAAACTATGTGATAGTCCAAACCTTGTTGAATAACTCTACATAAGTAAAAGATACTCACGTCTAACAAGTGTCATATAAAAAAAAAATGATACTTTTTAAAACCAACCAATCACAACTTTTTTAAAGCTGTATAGATCACCAATTTTCTAAATATGCGATATATGCATAAAACTATTATCATAGCTTGCTCAATTCATCATAAAATTAAAAAAAAAACAAAAATTTCTTTGACAGAATCAGTAAAGATAGATTGTCAAAGAATTTTTTGGGTTGAATATCTTTGTTACTTATTTACTATGATGGGAAATTAGAATTTAAATAAAAAATTAGAATTTAAATAAATTCTAATAAAATGCGTATATTACATTATTTCAAAACACTATTATGATAATAACTTGATGCAACCACCTTGAAAGCTCTAAGCGCACTTTCTTTGAAATAGTGCTGACAGTTTTCCTAGCCGAGAAAATATTAACCATTCAAATAGCCGAAATGACCAATAATTTGTTATGCCAGGGAAAATTATTAACATTACTTAGACCATGTGCTAAACTATAAAAGCATGCATTATAAGATCCTTATTTGTATATTGGTAGAGAGTGATTAAAAGGTTTCTCTACACGTTAATATACCGGTGTTTCACACAACAATAATTTACGCTAGCTTTAATTGTTATTAACAATATTCATACGGAACAAAGGTCTTATTAAACGATTACTTTGCTGTAAAGAAATTTGAGGGCATGAGTTTTATGATATTAGTAACCATGACAAAAAACAATATAAAACGAGGCCTGAGACCTAAATGTTTTCAATAAGTTACAGAAAATAAGTTCCGACAATATCATATTGTAAATATCAAGAACTTAAAGTACATGCACTTATGAAAAGCATGAGACGTCCAGAACAAGCGTCCTATTCCTTTCTGTCACGATCACTCAATATCACCTAATGCAGTAATTTCTCTATGGCGAAGTAATTGACCGATAATCCGATAATCCTATTATTACTGCATTAGCAATTAAAGTTCATATTATTGCAAGCGGTTGTTTGTTTTTTGATATCCATCAACCTTGATACATATCAAATATATATATTCAAGATTATCAATACGCCCAAGTTAACGTTAAATAGGTGATTAGGATAAGCATATTTCCATCGGAATCTCTCCATTGCATTATCGTGTTACACTGCAAAATTTTTAAATGATTTCCTTTTCCAAAACTCCAGTATTTTTTCGCCGTAAGTGGGAACAGTTAAATTTAGAATTTAAATTTAGAATTTTAATACATACCACTAATCCTTAAATTTAAAAAAAATTTCAAATTCATTCAAGCTTTGCTCCCACTTACGACATACGTACTGTACGTACCTGTACATATGAATATATTATCTGTACATTAGATATCTGATATGTAACCCTTATCTTACCATTACCATAGAATAATAGTACGTACTGTACGCACGTACGTATATATGTATGTGCGTACATTATCAGTTATTGCTGTATTGACCGAGATAGGCTGGGCTCATAGATGACTTTTGATTAACTTGATAGAATTAAACCTACCTTACATTATGCAGTTGAAATATATGCTGTTAACTTTTAAAAGATATAACAGAATTATGAAAAATTTTTGATAAAAATTCTTTTTGTTTTCTCAGAATATTTTTCTTGTAAATTATATGATATAACATATGAGGATTCATTCAATATATCTATTCCTCACTTTATCATTTGCAGGATATTTTAGGCATCAAAAAATTACATTACTGTAGCTTACTTATCTCAATCGTCACGTGTATCCAATGTCAAGACAATCATTAATTAGCAAACAAGCTGACAATAAAACCTTCAGACAGTTATAGGAAAATAAAAAAAAAGGAAAAAAAATTTAATTATTCTCAAAAATTGTACAACTTTAAAGTAATAATTTCAAATTTACAAGTGTTTTTTTGTTTTTTTTTTTTTTTGTTTTTTTTGTTTTTTTTTTATATCTTAAAATTAAGAAAACTACATAATAAAGCGAATTATTGAAAGTTATTGGGCAATTCTGAACTGTTTTGGAGACGTTACTTGAAAAGTGTAATTAGGAATATTAAAATAATAAAAGGGATTAAATCGTAAAGAAATTTAATAAACCAATTATGCACCGATTTGCATAACTCGCTGTCTCTTAACAGTTTTATTTTTACTCTTAGAATTTTTCTTTACAGATTTCTTGCTTTCTTTTAATGGTTGTATTGGCAATTGATCTTTATTTTCAACATTGTTGTTTCCAAAATAACCATATCCATAACCTTGATAATCTGTTGCGACCTGTTTTCCTTTCGCTGTGTTTTTTATTGTTTTTTTTTCAAATTGGTAAATCACCAGATCCGCGTTTTCATTTGACTTAGGTCGAACGGGTATTACAGTGGATGAATTAGATGAACTGGATGATGCGAAGGAACTAGACGAGGTGAATGAAATGGGTGATAATGAACCAGACGATGAACTAGGTGATACAGGAGATCCGGTTTCATTAATTTGACTTGAAGGTCTCGATTTTCCTTTCCCTTTAGTCCATGAAATGTTTAATGTATTTGTTATTAAGTTTGTTTTCCTTTTCCCATTTGTTGCCGATTTTGCAGTCTGTGATCCAGCAAACGCTTGAGATTTTTCTTCAATCATAACCCATTCGCATTCATGAACTAATCCTTTTCTTGGTTCAATAAATACCCATTCACCCCAACGATCACCTTGATCGGTAGCAGTTGTTTCTATCCAAACAAAAGGAAATATTTCGTCAATCGTTTCAATGCTTAAATGCGTGGTTATAGGTAAATCTTTCGTTTGGTCAATTAAGTTCCAATCTTCTAAAGTTTCTGCTTCATTTTCTTTGGCTTGGTCAGAATCAGACGAAAGTGACGCACGTTTTCTTTTCGAAGATTCTAATTTAGCTAATTTCTTTTTTTCTTTTAAGCTGTTTTTACGAGATTTCTTTCTGGAATTTCTTCGAGATAAATTTTTTTCAATAGAATTGTTATTATTTCCAGAAGGAAATTCTATTGTTTTAAGAGAACCAGAAGTATTACTAGCAGCAATTGGAGATAAATTCAGACAGAAACTTTTATATCCTTTTCTAACAAATTTAACTTGCGGATCTTTTAAATTTCTTAAAGCATTAGCTTTTTCAAGCAAATAATATAATTTTAAAAAATCATCCGATAAAGCACTGATTCCATGATTTTGAAATTGTTCCCACATTTGTTTGGCACTACGTTTCTCGTCAGTAGACATAGCTTCATCTGGACGAACAATAGTCTGACGTTTTAAACCATCCATCATTTCAGGTAAAAGGCTTATGGAGGTTTTTGTTTCTATCTTTGGCCTTGTATTAGGAACTTGTCTAGTAACTCTTAACATACTAACAGGTCGATAAGATTCATCATCTTCTTCTATGATAGTTGTCATTCTATTTATTTGTTGTGAAAGCTTCAAATCAGAATTATTTTGTGATATAGCCTTCATAGTGGCATTAGAAGTTTTACGATATTCTACATAATTATTTAATAATCTCGATAAACGTGGATTTGGAGAAAAGCAATCTAATTCACGTAAGTAGGCAAGGAAAAGATGTAGACAAGCATCTGAACATTTTGACCATTCTAAATAAGCTGAATCAAAATTTTTTAAACTTCTTGATGATTCTCCTAATATGCAAAGGGCCAAAGATTTTACAATTTTTTGGGCAGACATATTATTAACATGGGATTCTGTAGTGACCTGAGAACAGAGTTCAAACAGATCAACAAGAATTTCTTGATTTTGTTTAGGAAGGTACTGAAGGAATTGATTAAATGAGCCTTTTTGTGGATCATAATCCCATTCTAAATAAAGTATAATAATTTAGATAATTTAGAGAAACAATTTGAGAAAGGCGAATGATATTTCCACATCCCTTTTTTGATATTTCCACACTCATGTAGATCACTTTTTTTAAAAACTTTAATCGAAGGTATCTCGATAACCACCTGATCAAATTCGACAATTTTTTTATTAGAATTCTACAAGTATGCAGAATCAAATAAAAAAAAATTTCATCGAATTGGTCAGGTGGTTATTGAGATACCTTCAATCAAAGTTAGAGAAAATTTTGCCGCGGCTATTATTTTGATCTTTTTTAAAAACTTTGATCGAAGATATCCCGACGTCCAGCTGACTAAATTCGATGAATTTTTTTTTTATTAAATTTTGCATAATAGTAGAATTCAAATAAAAAAAATTTTTCATCGAATTTGATCTGATGGTCGTCGAGATAAGTTTTTAAAAAAATCTAAACGTCTATCAAAATAATAGCCGCAGCAAATTTTCTCTAACTTTGATTGAAGGTATCTCGATAACCACCTGACCAATTCGATGAAATTTTTTTTTTATTTGATTCTGCATACTTGTAGAATTCTAATAAAAAAATTTGTCGAATTTGATCAGGTGGTTATCGAGATACCTTCGATTAAAGTTTTTTAAAAAAGTGATCTACATGAGTGTGGAAATATGGGTGTGTTCGCCTTTGAGAAATATATAAATTAATGAATAAAAAAACTCATAATCAACAAATACCCTGTTCGTATCTAACAAATTCTTCATAATTTGAATAAGGAACAAGTGGAGAAGCACTATGCCTAAGGGCCCATTTCATGGCTGAAGCAATGTCACGAATATTTTGTTTTCTGAGTTCATCTTCAAATTCGATACGGTATTCTTTTAACATAAATCTGATAAGGTACCTGACCTCATCCGCATTGTCACCAACTTTAGTGGGTTTGAAGATATCAACTTCATGCAATCCTGTTGCGATTGTGTTAAATTATTGAATTGTTTGATAGTTGGATTGTTAAGTTATTAGTTTATTAGTTTATTGGGTTATTAGTTTATTGATTTATTGGATTGAAACATTAAATCGTGAAATTTTACTAACCTCTTTCTCGTATTTCATCGGCACATCTTTTAACAATTAAATGAACTTCTTCCAAGGTTAGAATCTCAGTAATATCGCGTAGAACATCTTTTTTCATAGTCATGCTACGCCTGAAATTTAGTTTTCCCTTCTCGAAGCCATCTTTGCTAAAAGTACGGGTTAAACTATTTTTCCCTCTTAACAATGAGTGTCTCGCGCCACGAAGCATTTGCATCAAGCAATATATAGGGAAGGCATGTAATTAAGAAGCAAAACAAAGTTGAGCTTCAGGGTAAAACGTTTAAAACGTATATAAAACGTTTTTCGGCAAGATTTGATATTTTGCCTATCGTTAATGTTTTAGGCTTTTATTGACATTATCATCTTACACATGACACTTGTGCATTATCTCTAATTTACAATACTAAAATTTTAGCGATTCTCCTGCATTGTCATACAGTTTTAAACCCCGTTTGTCCTTGGTATCATAAAAAAACCAATAATTAGGTTCATTGTCAACCAAGATCTTAAAATGGATGAATGCTTATAAAATTTAACGAACATCAATTGCTTGTACGTGTTTTTTCTTAACATGAATAAGATATGTCGCGGTGTCATTAATTTATGCACTTTTTTGTCGTGTTGTTACCTGCTTATATCATACGTGCATTTATTCTGAAACACTGTACAATGTTACCCATTTGACTAATTTTGTGCCAACTTACTTTGGATGTAGATCAAAAAGTCCTAAACAATGAATACTTATTCCATGCGAGATCTTCCACGTGTGAGATAGAACTATCACGTGATCAGCAAAACTTTTAACCCTTAATCGAGCCCAATTCGGATAAGTATTCAGGTACATATTGTACGTACTTGGTGTTTTATTCTCTTAATAGATAATAAAATAACAAGCAAAAAAAAAATATTTATCATAACGAATGCACGTAACATATATAATAAAAATATTTATCAATAAAAAAAGTAATAATTTCATAGTGATAATGGAATCGAAAATCTAGTTCCAAATTATTACGTAAATCTGGACTTGAACTGGTTTGATTATCTTTTCAAGAACAATGTTTAGAAATGCATAACTATAAAGAATAAATAAGCAATATTACACATTACCAAAATGACAAAACCAAATATGATCTTTCCAAAAAAAAAAGATTATATCTAATGACCAATTCAATTTCTTGATGCAGCTTTTAAACATTTTAAGCCTAAGTATCTCATTATATAATGCCTTTATATAGAATAAATACGCCAACTGTTTCATCCTAAATTAAATTATGAAATTTTTTATTCCAAAAATAGAATTTTAAATTGCATATTGATCACCTAAAAATACGCTCCTACCTTTTTTGAAATCGTTATTTGTGTCAATCATGTGTTACAAACAATTGTCCATGGCTACACTTTAATAACATCCGAATCAGCACCAAAAGTACTGTAACGTGACCTTCGCTGAACCACAACATATACATCTAACATTTTCATTATACACGCTTGTAGGACTCAAAAATATTCAAACTAGATCTTTACTGAGGTATTTTCGTTTAAAATTTGAAAAAACCTATTCCAAACTTAATAAAGGATATCTCATCTCAACAAGGACTTTAATATTTGTGAATCTTGCAGACATATAGAATTCGAAAATATTCTCAATTTTATGTACCTTCACTTAGAACTTATTAAAATCAGATGATACATACAATATGCACGCTGCGGCAGAGATTCGTTACAGAACTTAACAACGGCAAATAATTCTCTGTTAATAACGATAATACAATTTTAAAATCAATTGTTACTGATCTTGTTATTTCGCAAGCGCATGTAACATTGGGGTGTGCAGCGTACTATGTAAATCAAAACTATATGTGGTCATATAATAAAATTTATTATTAAGATTTTTTAGCTAAGTAATAATTATACGTAGCAAAATTTTAAATAGATGCACAGCCCTAGATTTCAATATTATGTCTTTACGAACAAAGCTATAGAGCCATTTCTTTAAAAAAGAAACCAAATTAGTTTTTCTCTTGTAGATCAAGGTTTTTTTCATGCTTAAATAAAAGAAATGGCTCTATAGCTTTGTTCGTAGAGACATAACACTAGTCTTTGCAAAATTTTATCTATAAAATTATTACCTATACGTATATAGCTAAAAAATCATTAATAAGTTTTATTATATGACCACATATAGTTTTGATTTACATAGTACGCCGCGCCGCACACCCCAATGTACGTAACATGGCACCCACCGATGTTATATAAATATCGTGTTTTGAACCACTAAAATTTAATTTTTAACTTACCCCTTTTTAGTTTTGGCTTTATAGTCATATCTCTATTTGTCAATGTAAACACACTTTATATATTGAACAAGTTGGTATGTTTACACTTCAAACGTTTGATTAATTTTAAGTTACATACATTTTTATACGTACAACTCTAATAAATTTTTTTTACGTATCATTAAAAATAATTAAAAATTTATTATAGGATATTAGAAGCTATGAAAATTAATATTTGTTGTACTTAATTTATAAATGTTTCTAGTTGTAGTACAACATACAGTAACTGTATATTACTATATAGTTTACTATCTAATCAGAAAAATAAATATACAAAAAATTGTTATAATATATTATTAACAAAATTATTCTCTTTTAGAACCAAATTATATACAATTATATTAAACAAATACTATATATGATTTAATTTAAAAAATTTAATTAAAAATTAAAAAATATAGTTTTTTAAAAAAGCAATAATTATATACAGTACAGTCAGACCTCTCTAAATGCAATGTGACGGGACCATATGTAAAAATTTAGCCAAACTTACATTTAGAGAGGTATTGCATTTAGGGAGGTAAAAATCTATAAGCGTAATATTACTGTAGTTGGGTCCAAGAGAAGACATGCATTTAGAGAGGTTTTCCATAGGACGTGTACTTAGGGGGGTTGCATTTAGGGGGTCTGGCTGTGTATATTATATTATATATATATATATATATATAGTATATATACACTATATATAGTATACAAATTTAATACTATAAATAATTTTTAAAATATTTATATAAAAATTAATAAATTTTTAATTATAATTACTATTATTATATTTTATAAAACAAATTAAAATTTAAAATTAAATGCTATATAATACAAGAAGTAGGATTTTGAGATTTAATAATATTCAAATCAAGCCAAATTTAAACTCTAAATTTTTTATTAATTTCAAACTCAAATTAAACTCAACTTTGTTTTTTTAAACTCAAACCAAACTTATATTTAATTATAAGTTTGATTTGATTTTAAAGTTTGCAAAACTGTTTGTATTAAATTAATTTATATAGAGTAAAATTTTAAATATCATGATATTTTTTATAATTTTACTAAAAAAAATTATATAACTCATAAATATAACTTTGCTTTAAATGAACTTGTTTAGCTTATAAATTTTTTGATTAAAATTTAAAATTAAATATCTTTTTTTTCAAATTTTAAAATAAAATAAAATATACTAGCCTAATATATATTTATGAGTTAAACAAATTTATTTAGATTTTATTTACTAATAAAATTTTAAAAACCATAATATTTTTTATAATTTTACTAATAAAATTATAAAAAAAATAATACAACTCAAAATTCTATTAATGAATAATATCTTTATATTCTAAATAAAATTTTTTAGTATATAAAATATATTATTTAGCATGTTTAATTTTATTTTTCTTAAAATTTAAAAAAAAGATATTGGGTTTAGTAATAGTAATATAACATAGCAGTTAAAGTATGCAAGTGGGTTGCAACTAGAGATGTGGTAGAATCGTCCCAATGAATTTTATGGCATACGACCAGTCACGGTTACGGTTACGGCAAAATTCGAGTGATCCCATTGTGTCGTAATAATAATCAGTTTTGTAACTTTAAATAGCTACGTAACCTTAATTAGTTACGTAACTTTTGTATTGTTATTTGTAATTTTAAATAAAAGCTTAATTAGTTATATAACTTTCATATTGTTATTTGTAATTTTTAATAAAATTAACTTCCGTATTGTTTGTAATTTTTT